TATGGGAATTCTCTGTGCTTTCTGCTCAAGCGGGCTATGAATGTAAAGCAACTCTACTTAATAAAGTCTGCTTAAAAAAAAAAAAGATGAACACCCAGCTCACATGCATAAGAAAAGTGACAAGACCTGAACTTGGGAAGCAGCAGGTTTGTGGAAATTTTTTCGTTGTTATTTATTAAAAGTCAAGGACTACGTGATGACATTTACCAGACAAAGAAAGACAGAGAGAAAGAGAGAAAGAGACAGGCAGGCAGGCAGGCAAAGACGCTGGCACCAGAATTTTCAATCCAAGCAGCATATTCCAGAGACTTAGCTCTCAACACTGAAGACAGTGTTTTTCCAACTTCGATGGCATCGCAATAGGTCAATTCATTGGGTTTTACCAACCGTGTTTAAAGATATGAAATAAAAAATAGCCTCAACTGCACTTACTAAGGGTATTGATTTTTGACATTTTGTTTTCTGCTTCGCATGTAAATAGTGCGTGTAGTGGGTCGTGATGGGTATAAAACTGTCGCTGCCCCACGCTACACCGCCCGCTGCTCGTGTGCTCACGGGGCGCACTTCCGGCTGGGCGACTCAGAGAGTAAATGAGCGAGGATGTCATCGAGGTGATTTTAGCTGCTGAAGTGAGCTCGAAGGAAGCAGGCAGCACGATGACAGTCACTGGCAGCCCGCGTTGGGGATGGGGCAGCAGGTGTCGGGAGGCACCTGGAAGCATTGCCTCTGAAGTCTGAGTGCTATGAAGAAGCTGTGTGCAAGCATCAGGTGAAGAGCAAGTTCTAGGTGGACGGAATAAAATGCAACCACCCTCAGGCATGGAGAGAAGAAGGGGACAGGATGAGATTTAGAGTCAGACAGGAGTAGATCACGCGGGCCTTGTGGATTCTTTGCGACAAAAATAGTCACCTCGTGGAAGAGACTTCGTTGCGTCAGGGTATGTGTGTGAGGCAGAGATTCTGAGGGGGCGCCCTCATCTCTCTTTATAATCAACATGTGTTCTCTCTAAGTTTCACCGGGCTGGGGAATGAATGTAGAGCAGCAGCGATGCCTAGGGTGTGTGTGCGTGTGTGCACGTGTGCGTGCACACGGACATACGCATGTATGCCTGCATGTGTGTGCATGCGTGCACGTGTCAGGGTAAGTCAATTTAGAGCCATTACCACTTCAGAGGGACATTCGAGGGGGACTGTCCCGTAGACAGAAGATACTCGGATGCAAAGTCAGGACTCAGGTCTGAGGCAGAGACATGAAGATGCAGATGAAGAGGGGCCCACCTGGGAGAGGAGCCTCGCAGGCATGAAAGAGCCCTCCGCAGCATCCTTTCGGTGACGGAGAAATGCACGTCCTCAGAATACTTCTAAAAATGGCGCGTTGGGGTCCATGAGTGAATGTTTACCCCGTGATATGTTTGGCGTATTCTGCTCAGCAAATGTTTCTTCAGAGGAAGAAGGAACCTTTCATATTTGTTCTGATTTTATTATCATAATTTTGAGATATTTGTAGAATATCTTACCCCCTTATACAATAGTCCTTATATTTCATCTTTTTGTAAAGATGCAATGGTAAAAAGATAACAATAATCATAAAATAGTCATTTGTGGCTCTAATCAAATGCAAATCTTAAAACTCTGAACATTCTATATCCAACGTTTGTTATTAGTAGAGAAACTGCATATCTTGCTTATAAATAAGTGCATAGATATACACACAAAAATGAAGTACATATTGCCTATAAAAAGATGACCGATGGGTTTGGTCCTGGTGGACATCCAGTGGTTTAAAAAATAGCACATAAACGTGCATTTTACCAAACTGGACTTTCAGGAGGTGCATCACTGGAGAAGGCCACACTTTTCGTTTGTTAGCTTCAAATGTCTGGTTTCCACAAGCAAATACTCTCCCTGCAAGAAGCCTGCGGGTCTCACATGTCTTCCCATGTCTCTTTCCAAAATGTTATATTGCTTTTCAATGTTTCCCTTAAGAAGCAAAAAAGAAAAAACGTAGACAGATGAGCTATTTAGTGTTCTTTTCCCTTCCTCAGTCCAAGTCCTCACTCACTTCACTAGCATGAAATGTGTTGGTGGCTCCACCTTACAAAACAGCAATCTAGCTAATCCCGTCTGCAAACTGTTCCCTTGTCTGCAGTCCAGAGGCAGGTAGAGGGCTCCGGTGCATTCCTGTGCAAACCCCACACCTGCTGTGACGCCTCCCCTCTCTGCGTGTTTACGGAGACTCATGCAGTCACACCATTCCCTCTGGTCTTCACACTAGGAAGCAACGCCCCCCCTCCCTTCAGCTCTCATCTTTTCAACAAATCACCCCATCTTTCCCGGAACAGGAATAATGCTTCTCAATTATTTGAAAGAATACATGTTAACATATATTTTCTCTAAGAACACCAGAGCACAATGAGAATAAAACCCATTATTTTTTCAGCCCTAAATAATTCTCATTCTAAACTTCAACCATTTTTGCTACAGAGCGAAGAAGGCAAATGTATCTATTGGATTTGCCAAACATCTTCCAGTGCTTTTCAGTCTAAAATGCTAGGTGCCATGATAGTTTGCATGAAAATAACACAACTGAGCTCAATTGTTTCCAGCTGGAGTGTGGATCTGTCATGTGCCGGGGACAGGGGGTGTAAATTCACGGTCGTCTGTACTCTCCCCCACTCTCTGTGGTGTCCCCAGTAGCTGGAGGGCGTCTGGGCTGAGAGAAAAACAAGATTCAGTCAGCGCCCAGAGCCAGAGCCTGCCAGGCAAGAGCGATTTTCACATACTGCCTTGGGCTTTATATTCCTTCGGCCTTCAGGTCACGCTCTGCAAATGACTATAAATTCTTCTGGTTCCGATGGACCTAAAAAAATAAATTGCCAGAATTTGGGGCCTTACAATTACAAGTAATGGAAGCAATGTCTTTCTTTATGATGAGTATCAGGAGGAGGGTAGTAATCTGGCAATTTTTTTCCCCAATAATGATCGCTGAAAACCATTTTGTTTTTAAAATCCTCGGAAAAAAGAATGCAATGCATGGGTCATGCAGTGTAATTTGGGGGTGGGGGGGGTAGGTGAAAGAAAGAGGGTTTGGGTAATTTTTCTGGTTTTAAGCAGCCGACTCGTCTTGCAAAATAGTCTGGGCAGTATCTTAGGAACTACTA